TCCCTGGTTGTCCACAATAGTTGAGATATCTATGGTGCGATTCCATCCCAACATTTCATCCAGTTATACTACAAAGCTCACGTTCAAAGCTCTCCTTGGTTGTCCACGATAGTTGAGATATCTATGGTGGGACTCCATCCCAACATTTCATCCAGTTATACTACAAAGCTCACGTTCAAAGCTCTCCCTGGTTGTCCACGATAGTTGAGATATCTATGGTGGGATTCCATCCCGACATTTCATCCAGTTATACTACAAAGCTCACGTTCAAAGCTCTCCCTGGTTGTCCACGATAGTTGAGATATCTATGGTGGGATTCCATCCCAACGTTTCATCTAGATATACTACAAAGCTCCTATTCAAAGCTCTACTCGGCTGTCCATGATACTTGAGACATCTGTGGTGGGACTCCATCCCAACGTTTCACCCAGTTGTACTGCAAAGCTCCCATTCCAAGTTCTGCGCTGTTGTCTCCATTACCAGGGGAGAATTGGGCAACTTCCTCTCCATCTTACAATGACATTCAAATGTATACGAACAAGCCATCCATCAGGCACCCTTTACTAGCCTAATTGCTACGCATCTCTTCTCCTTTGGATAATATATTCAGATGAGAATTTAATGGATTTTTGAAGGTATGAGTTGTCAGCCAGTCGAAAGCAGCATTGACAGGGGAATTATGACTAATCTCCGGCGTTCAGGTCGATCCTTCCAAAGAATTTTTAAAAAACGGTTGAAATAATATAGGGGCCTTTTTCTTCCTGAACCGTTGGAGAAAAACACAACGTTATCTACCCTGCTTGGAAAGCTGGGGGGGGGGTGTAGAAAAAAAGTTTGCCCCCTAAATCAGTGGCAAAACCAACACCTAAGCTAGTTACATTTCTTTTCTACATAATCTTTCCTCACTCTCAAATGACACCAGGTCAGCTGTGATTTGCATCTGGAATATCAATTTTCAGGGCCATGTTTTTGAAAAGAATCTACAGTATTCGGTGTTGGGCTGAATATTTGCTCCCCATTTTTTTTTAAAGGTGCTTCCAGCTGGGAAGGGATTTTTTTTCTCCCCTCCCCTTTCTAATCCAAATAATTGAGTTTTAGACGAAATCCTGTTTCGTGGGATGTGATTTTCGCCTTCCTGAATTCCCATAACCTGTGTCTTGACCCAGCCTGGTGGGCATAGACCAGCGATAACTGGCAGAACATGCCACTTATCTTTTACCTTCTGCCACACCGAGTCCTATTTGCTGCCTTTCGTGAGCTTTTTTATTCCCCATTGACAACACAACCGGCACAAACTCTTTATTATCATTCCCTCCCCAGCTGCTTGTGGGTTTCCCTGACACCCTTTATTATCATGACCATAACGATGAGAATAATAATCAAAGGATCTTAGGAGAGTGGGGTTGGACGCGCAATTTATTTACACAGTGAATTGTGTTTATCAAAGACCAAGAGACATATATACACAGGAGAATCACGAATGACCCAAAATGCATATTCCGGACCACCAATTCAAAACAAAACCGACTCCAAAATTAGCGAATAGAGTGCATTAGAAATCAGGAGATTCTTCATCGCAAGGAAGGATGGAAACATTCACACCAAGACAAAAAAAACTGAGAAAAGGGTGAGAAACGCTAGACCTGAGGCCCTTAGGGGGTCCAAGCTGCCTTACACACCTTTGCTTTTAAACCTCGCATCTGCAGATTATACATTATTATATATATATTCAGATTTCTTTTTGCTGACAAAGAGTTAAAGATTTAACTGGGAGTAGTATAGCTATTTCGGACTCATTAGTCCTCATCAGCTAGCCACATCCTTTATGGGATATATAAAAAGATTTCTTTCTCCCATATTTGGGTCAACAGGGTGCATCAAAAAGCACTCAAGGTAATTCTCCTCCCCTGTCTCTTCCCTCAGCTGACAAAGTGAGAAAGAGCCTGTGGCCTAGAGGTTAACACAACTGCTTAACATGCAGGCAGCCCAGGTTCGAATCTCAGAAGGGTATGTTTGGCTGATGAGAGCTAAAAAGTTCGAAATAGCTATTCCATTCTCCCTTAATTCTTTGTTAGCAATCCAAGCATCTCTTGCTATCATTATCTTGCTAAGCCTGGACAAAGTCAGAGCGGAATAATTAAGACCTTTATTTATGAAGATTCCTTAATCATTTCTATTAGTGTCGCACAAATTAATTTACTTTTTTTTTTTGCAACATTAAAAAAAAAAGGTCACAGCTCCTGCCAAAATGCAGTGCCTGTTTTTCTTATCAGTTACTCCTTGGATACCACATATACAGAGAAATATAAAAATCCCAGAGCAGTAAGGACAAAGCATGTCATTAATTTTGTTACCAGAATATGCCTCCACTTACTCCTATTACATAGTTGGCTTGTTCCTCATCTAGAATTACAGAATAACAGAGTCGGGAGGGATCTTGGAGGTCTTCTAGTCCAACCCCGTTTAAGCAGGAGACCCTATACCATTTCAGACAAATGGTTGTCCAGTTTCTTCTTTGAAACCTCCGGTGATGGAGCACTCAAAACTTCTGGAGGCCAGCCGTTCCACTGGTTAATTGTTCCCACTATCAAGAAATTTCTCCTTAATTCCAGGTGGCTTCTCTCTTTGATTACTTTCCATCCGTTGTTTCTTGTCCTGCCTTCAGGTACTTTGGAAAATAGGTTGACCCCCTTCTTCTCTGTGACAGCCCCTCAAATATTAAATCATCCAACAGTTACAAGGTCTCCTGCCTTGAGTGGGCAGTTGGACTAAGACTTCTGAGATCCCTCCCAAACCTTATGTTCTATGTTTTAGGACAATCTGAAAACAGAATATTCCTGTTTTCTTCCAGGGGACGTGGAAGAAGATGCCAAAAGTCTTCTGAGGACACTTTGTGCATTTCCAGGAGGCCGTTGACCAGAACATCATGAAACATCTCTTTTTCAGCCAATGGACTTTCTAGCAGTGCATAAATCTGGCCTACTCATCTTGGCGCATTCAGGAAACGAAATGAAACTTCCCATTGGTGAGACTCAACCATCCAGGTCTTGGTTGTCCCAAAGATGCTCCTTTCAAAAGGCAACTGGACTTTCTCGGGTTTTGGTTTTTCTTCTTGAAGATATTTCACTTCTCATCCCAGAAGCTTCTTCAGTTTTGAACTGAATTGAACTGAACAAGAAGCTTCTGGAATGAGAAGCGAAATGTTTTCAAAGGAAAAAAAAAAGACCAAGAAAGTCAAGTTGCCTTTTGGAAAAAGGACCTTTAGGATTCCCATTGATGGGCTGCCCTGTTTTCTATATATCTATATCTATTCCACATTAATGCTCCAAGGTATAGGTTCTCCTGCTTGATCAGGGGGCTGGACTAGAAGACCTCCAAGGTCCCTCCCAGCTCTGCTATATTCTAAGACAGTGGTTCTCAACCTTTTTAATGCCGCGACCCCCAACCGGTCGTAAGTCGAGAACTAAACCGGTCGTAAGTCGAGGACTAAACCGGTCATAAGTCGAGGACTACCCAACTGGTCGTAAGTCGAGGACTTTCCCTGCTCGGGAGCGCCACGCATGCATGGTTCTGCCCCCTGCGCCGGCCGAGGCGTAGCTGGCAAGCGGCAGAGACGGAGCAGGCCGACCACCAGCTGGCCCAGCCCAAGGGAGGTAAGGCACCTGCCGGAAAAGGGGAAAAAAATGGCAGACAGCCTTGCTGGCGACCCCCGTGAAATGGTCGATCGACCCCAAATGGGGTCGCGACCCATAGGTTGAGAACCGCTGTTCTAAGCCATGTCTTAAGATCTCTGACCACATCTGAACATCTTTAGTGCATGCTTCATCAGATTTCTGTATTCATAAGCAATAAATAACTTCAAGAGGAGATCCATTCAACCTCTTCATGAAAGTCATGAAAGCTGACAGACCTTAATCAAGTCTCCCCACAATACAAAATACACCATCAAAGCTGATCCCAGCCAGAGCATAGAACAACTCAAAGTAGTAGTGCAGGATCAGAAGACATGGAGACACCTGGCTCATAGAATCGCCAAGAGTTGGACAAAACTGAATGGATATCATCATCATCATCGTCACAATACAAAAAAAAGTGGGGGGAGAGAAGGATAGAAGTGCTGGTGTATCCCAAATAAAACACCTCCCCAAATAAATGGATCTGGCTGTAGCTTAGGAAATTCTAAGGGTGAGACCATCTATTGTTGAAGGCTTCCTTAAACTAGACCAGGCATGTCAAACTCGCGACATCACGTGATGTCGCGCAATGTATCGGGCTGGTTTTGCCATTGCCAGCAATGGGGTGGGTGTGGCTTCCACGTGATGCATCCGGCCCACGGGCCAGCAGTTTGACACCCCTGAACTAGACTGACTGGCTCAGTTTCGCAGCAAAAGTAGACATCTCCCTACTTTTTCGACATTAGCCTAAGTTCCTCTTCAGTCCATGTTTTGCCTTCAAGCAAGGCTGACCTCAACTGCCTTAAGAAGACATGACGGTTGAAGTCCCGGTCCCTCCACGTCAAGAAGGTGTTTCTCCGCAGATAACGGAACAAGCCCAGTTTGTGGTTCAGGGCTGCTTTGTCCACCCCTTCTACGACAACTAAGACGAGGCTGGCCTTGCTGTCCACCAGTTGCCAAGACTGAGCCACCTCCAGTTCGAAATTACACCAACGGCTTTCCAAGAAGTGGTCTGAGACAACAGCGATGACTTTCCGGCTGGTCTGGAAGCCTTCTTTGATGATGTTGGTGATGATGGAAACTCCAGGGATGAAGTCCCGGTAGAAAAGACAGAGACGAAAGTAAGGTAATTCCTCTTCCAGAGGTCGCTGCAGTTCTTGGTTCACCCACTCCTGGTCCCTACTGGAGAAGATCACAAACGCATCATAGACAGTTTCCTTCTCCTCTGAGGATTTGTTTCCAAGGAACAACACCATGGTATAATAGAGGTAGAAATAATATTTATAAACCAGAATCAGGATTGTGATCAGAACCAGAACGAGGGTCACTGAAACAGCCACTATAGTGGTGCTTATCTCGCAGGGCGCCAAGTCAAAACCCATCACTGGGACATTTTTTAAGTCCATGGGGGTAGAGCAGACCATGTTGTCAACATTTTGAAGGAGAGTTGAGGAGTTTTTTGTCCACCGCAAGAAGTCCAAACGGTCACAAGAGCAATCAAAAAGGTTCTCAGAGAGATCCAGGTGTTTCAGACTAGCCGGTAAGTTCTTAAGATCTTCTTCCGTCAACGCAACCAGCTGGTTGTTGTGAAAGTCCAGGGTGTTGAGAAGAGGGGTGTGCACGTAGGTCTCTGGATGGAGACCTAGCAGTTTATTACGGCTGACATTCAACAACTGGAGTTCATGGAGGTTGGTTAAACTGCTGAGAGATATATGTTGGAGTTGGCAATTGGAAACGTCTAAAAAATGCAGCTGCGTGAGGTTCCGGAAGTTGTCAACCAGCTGATCGTTGGCAAATCGGTTGCCTGCCATTTTGAGCACGCGCAGTTTGTGCAAGCCACAAAACGAACACTCGGCGATCACCTTGGTGCCCGTGTAGGAGATATCAAGATAAAGGAGATTGTGGAGACAGAAAAACGAAGGAACGCTTCCGGGCGAGGCGAGGGCGGTGTGTTGCAAGTCCAAATATTCCAGCTTGGCTGGCCCACTGCATTCAATGCTTAACCTGATTTCCGTGTTGAAGCTCAAATTCAAGTACTTCAAATTGGGAGCTCCCTTCATGAGTTTAACCCAGGACAGGTGAATGACCAGCCTGTTAACGCTGAGGTCCAAGGTCTCCAAGCTTGGGAGGCCTTCAAAATAGTTCTTCAAGTATATGAGATTTTTATTGTGAGTGATGCGAAGCACTTTTAGTTTCTTTAAGGAAGAGAGACTCTTCGCAGGCACCATGTCCCGTGAAGAGTCCTTAAACTCAAGTTGGTAAATATTGGAGTCATTTGGGAACTTAAACGTGTCGTCGATATAGGTATGGACCAACCGCACTCTGGGAATATTGTTGAGACAAGGCGAGAGGGTGCTTCTAGTTTCCAAGGAGTCTGCTTCAATGAGAGTGAGCTTCTGCAAATGCAAGTCACACAGGACATCTACAAGGCTTTTGTCAATGGATTCCAGTCGATGGATGTTTCGGTAGTCTCCTAACACTAAACTGTTGACGTGCGAACCGGACATATTCTGGAGGCTAGCTTGCATAATTACGCCATTCTCAAAGCAGCCCCTCAGAACCAATTCCTGAAGGTGGAGTCCCTCAAAGGCGTGCCATTCGATATATTTTATATCATTTCTAGACAGTACCAATGTCAGGTTCCGGCTCACTAAGGCATCCAGGTCTCCTACCGAGATGGAGGAGATCTTGTTTAATCGGAAGTTCAGATGCCGGAGAAAGATTAGGTCGGAGAAATATCCGGGGAGCTTCAAGGCGTCGATGCGGTTGTGGCTCAGATTCAGCTCTTGGAGAGCAGTCAAGTGTCCAATGGGAAAGCTGGCCAACGAGGACAAATTGGTTTCTACGGCAAGGAGTCTTTGCAAAGAGGGTAAATCGTGAAAAGCCCTTGGTCCCAAAATCTGGAGAGGATTGCCTGTCAGGATCAAGACCGAGAGGTTGGTGAGTCCAGCAAAGGCATGGTCTTCAATCTTCCAGAGATGACACCTATTGGAACAGGATGGGAAAAGAAGGTAAAAGTTCATAGGTGCACGTATCAGTCAAGGTCGAATTTTATGCTGTAATTTTTTTGCTCCCCTCTAGGAGGAGGTTTCGAAGTATTTCTAGTAGGACTACTAGATTCGGCAACAGCTTTGCTCCTTATGCCATCCGTCTTGTAAATTCGCAGGATTCTTTTTTTTCCTGCCATGTTTATGTATTTATCCAAACTAGACTGTACTGTTTCTCTCTCTCTCTCTCTGTGGTTATATGCATAATCTTTTGTCATGTTTATATAGTGTATATTGGAGGCAGTTACTCTTTGAGAGCTGAATGCAATGAAATTTCATTTTAATGTATGCTGAATAGTGTACATTTAAAGTGATAATAAAGTTTATTCTGTTCTGTCCTATCCTATCCTATCCTATCCTGTCTTCTATTCTGTCCTGTCCTATCCTATCCTATCCTATCCTATCCTATCCTATCCTATCCTATCCTATCCTATCCTACCCTACCCTACCCTACCCTACCCTATCCTGTCTTCTATTCTATCCTATCCTATCCTGTCTTCTATTCTATTCTATTCTATTCTATTCTATTCTGTTCTGTTCTGTTCTGTTCTGTTCTGTTCTATTCTATTCTATTCTATTCTATTCTATTCTCCTCTCCTCTCCTCTCCTCTCTTCTCCTACTCTACTCTACTCTACTCTACTCTACTCTACTCTACTCTACTCTACTCCACTCCACTCCACTCCACTCCACTCCACTCCACTCCACTCCATTCCATGGTAAAGATTACATTGACAGTCAAGAACTGTAAATATGCAATCTGATTCAGATTTGCAATTTAAACCACACCCAAAGACAGTGGGTTGACTTGGAAAAGCTCCAGTAGGATTGAACAGATTGACCTACTTTGGCTCCTGGATCTAAATAGTCACTTAAATTGGACCTAACAGATGTCAATTCCAAACTTTGCACAGCATTCCCATCTGACATATTTTATACAAGTTTAGCATTTTCTCACATCTGGATTCTGCTTTGAATCAGGACAAAGGTGGGCACTGAAGATTTGCCTTTTCATAAGAGAATGAATTTGACAACTTCCTCATTCAGCATAAAAAATTAACTCTTAAGAGGGGAAGGGGAAGTGAGAACAATGTGTGCGTTAAAACCAAAAGTGAATCAAACTTTTTAAGACAAGTGTACAAATACATCGTTTAAGAAGGCAAAGGGATTAATTTGAAAAGGTTGAAAGATATGAAGGGCTATTTATTTTTCCTACACACAAACATATATACACACAAAAAAAAATCACCCCTGTACTGAGGACTGTTAGATTCTAAAAAAAAACCATCCCTGTTAAAGTCAAAATGCAAAAAACTAAGACTGCAGCCAGCTTCTATTTCAATGAAGATCAAATGTGGCATTTAGGAAAAGTAGAATTGTACTTGGATCAAAAGTCCCAAACTTAGCTGGGATAAAAAAATAACTTGCCCAGATTGGTTTTCCCGTTCACTGGTTTTTAAGTTCACACAACTTGCCATCTGTCAAGGACCCAGGAAACGGAGACATCGGTTTTACAAAGGAAATACATCCCCCAAAATATGGTCCTATCCTACCCCATCTTCGCATCTTTTCTGGTCAGACTCCTTACCTAGCGAGGTCCAGAAATCTCAGCGCCGAAACTGCTGAGAAATAATTTGAGTGCAGGATTTGCAATGGGTTGAAACTTAGATCCAAGATCTGGGTGCTGTTTGGGATACCGGGAGGGATCCTAGTAAGGTTCAGCTCCATGCATCTGTATGAGTGACCCGGGATTGTCTAGAATTAGAAGAGATTAGAAATTGAAACCGCTCCTTCCTTATAATCTGAGGGGGTCCCTGGTGGTCTCTGAGCTCGCTGGTTTTCTTCCAGATGTTTCATGAACCAAACTAGGTAACGTCATCAGTGTAACAGGATTGATCAAGCTACCTAGTTTGCGTCATGAAATGTCTGTAAAAAAACAACCAAGCTCAGAGAGCACCAAGGACAACTCAGTTCTCCTCCTCCTCCTCCTCCTCCTCCTCCTCCTCCTCTTCTTCTTCTTCTTCTTCTTCTTCTTCTTCTTCTTCTTCTTCTTCTTCTTCTTCTTCTTCTTCTTCTTCTTCTTCTTCTTCTTCTTCTTCTTCTTCTTCTTCTTCTTCTTCCTCCTCCTCCTCCTCCTCCTCCTCCTCCCTGCAAACACCCCTCCCTTCTATCACTGATGATGTTACCTAGTTTGGGTCATGAAACATCTGCAAAAAAACCAACCAAGCTCAGAGAGCACCAAAGACCCCACAGTCCTCCTCCTCCTCCCTGCAAACCCCATTCGCTTCTAGCACTGATGATGTTACCTAGTTGGGTAATGAAATGTCTTCAAGAAAACAACCAAGTTCTGAGAGCACTAAGGACTCCACAGGCCTTCTCCTCCTCTTCCTCTTCTTCCTCCTCCTCTCAGAAAACCCCCCTCCCTTCTAGCACTGATGATGTTACCTAGTTAGGGTCATGAAACATCTGCAAAAAAACCAGCCAAGCTCAGAGAGCACCAAGGACCCCCTCATTGCAACTCTGAGCTACCCATATTCTCCTTTGTTGCTCCTTACACTTACAACGCTGGTGACTTTGGTCTTTAAGCAGTCCCAACCCTTTCTGAATCAAGGCCCTCTCTTTTTTTAAAAAAAAAAATGTGCGGTTTTAGAAGTACGGGGTTTTCGTTTCTTAGCTAGGCAAACCAAGGCAAGCCCAGATTCGTTTCAAAAGGAGGAACGTTTAAACCCTACCAATTCATCAGACGAGAACCACACAATAACAGAGTCGTGAGGGACCTCCAAGGTCTTCTAGTCCAACCCCCTGCTCGAGCAGGAGACCCTGTGCCATTTCCCACAAGTGGTTGTCCAATCTCTTTTTGTAATGGAGCACCTACAACTTCTGGAGGCCCGCCATTCCACCGATTCATTGATCTGGCATTATAGGATAACCGAATCGGAAGGGACCTTGGAGGTCTTCTAGTCCAAGCAGGAGACCTTCCACCATTCCGGACAAATGGTGGTTGTCCAATCTCTTCTTAGAGAAACCTCCAGCGATGGAGCACCCACCACTTCTGGAGGCGAGAGATGTTGGGAAGCAACAAAGCAAGGAGCCCTGAGAAGGCAGCTAGCTCTTTCAAAACTTATCTGCGACGTTGCGATTCACAAATGAAACATCTCATCCCACAAGACCATCCCTTACCTCCAGACAAGGACTGAGGCTCCTGGTTTCCAGATTCAGCTGAAAAAACACCGCCAAGGAGAAGGTGATACATGCCGGTGAGAAGACCCCAGCCTTCCTGGGCATTTTCAGATTCGGCCCATTCAGGGGGAAAGACTTTTAAAAAAAACAAAAACAAACAGAGATTGATCACGAGGATGAGGAAGCTCAACGAAGGCAGCTAGTCTTCCTTGTGCAAAATCCGGGGAAATCCATGGAAAGGAAGAGGCACTCTTGTGGAAGAAGAGGGTAAAGGGGCCAAAAAGAAAGTTGTTGGGAAAAGTCTTCTTCGCCCAAGGTCCACCTGCTTGCTTGCTCGTAAAAGTTCTCGACTGGCACATCCTGCTGAACCATAGATTGGCGTGTGAAAGAAAGGCAAAGAGGAACTTGCTTTCTAGAAAGTGATTTCCCATTTCGGGTAAGTTAAATATCATCATAGAGTCTTTCGTGCTTGCTTTCCTTTCTTTCTTTCTTTCTTTCTTTCTTTCTTTCTTTCTTTCTTTCTTTCTTTCTTTCTTTCTTTCTTTCTTTCTTTCTTTCCTTCCTTCCTTCCTTCCTTCCTCTTTCTCTTTTATTCTTTAACTCTCTCTCTTTTCCCCCCCTCTCTCTCTCTTCCTTCCTTTCTTTGTTTCTCAATGTTTCTCTTTCTTCCTTTCTTCCTTCCTTCCTTCTTTTTTTTGTTTTCTTTCTCCTCCCCCCTTTCTTTCTTTCTTTCTTTCTTTCCTTCCTTCCTTCCTCTTTCTCTTTTATTCTTTAACTCTCTCTCTTCTCCCCCTCTCTCTTCCTTCCTTCCTTCCTTCCTTCCTTCCTTCCCACCTAGGATAATTTCCTTCCTTCCCACCTAGGATAATTTCCTTCCTTCCCACCTAGGATAATTTCCTTCCTTCCTTCCTTCCTTCCTTCCTTCCTTCCTTCCTTCCTTTTTTGTTTTCTTTCTCCTCCCCCTCTTTCTTTCTTTCTTTCTTTCTTTCTTTCTTTCTTTCCTTCCTTCCTTCCTTCCTTCCTTTCTTTCTTCCTTTCTTCCTTCCTTCCTTTCTCTTTTTCTTTCTTTCTTTCTTTCCTTCTTTCTTTCTGTTTCTTTCTCACTGTTTTCCTTCCTTCCTCTCTTTCTTTCATTCTTTCTCTTTTCCCCTCTCCCTTCCTTTCTTTCTCACTCTGTTTCCCTTCCTTCCTTCCTTCCTTCCTTCCTTCCTTCCTTCCTTCCTTCCTTCCTTCCTTCCTTCCTTCCTTCTTTGCTTTCTTTCTCCTCCCTTTCTTTCTTTCTTTCTTTCTTTCTTTCTTTCTTTCTTTCTTTCTTTCTTTCTCTCTCTCTCTTTCCTTCCTTCCTTCCTTCCTTCCTTCCCTCCCTCCCTCCCTCCGCATTTTTCTCTTTTTAAATCATCTTTTATTCTTCCTTAACAAACAGATGCATGCACACTCATCCTGCTCTCCCAGAAGAGTGGTGAAATAAAACTCCTAGTAACTTAAGATCTCCCTTTTTAAAAAGCTGAACATAATGGGAAACCACAAATGAAAAGCCCATTATTGTTTCCATAGGAGAATGCAAGCAGCAGTTACGAAACCCGGCAGAATCTCACTCAAACAGTCCCTTCAGTTGAGACTTTCCAGTGTAGAAAATTGAACTCGGTTTTATTCAAACCGGGCCATCAAATCGAATCCATTTGGAATCAATTTTTTTAAAAAAAAAAGAATGGAAGGAGGGGTGAAATCCGCAGAAGGCCTCCAGATTGTCTCAAATCAATTTGGAGGCATTTGATCGGTTTGGCTTTGTCTATCGGACAACGCCGATCCGATCACCCGAGTCAAGGTGAAGAATTCGACCGAAATGTCTTTGAAACCCATCTTGGCATTGACTCTTCCTCCTTGCCTTTCTTTGTTCGCTATTTTTCACCCCTGTCCTGGGAAAATTCAGTGCATTTTCAATCCTACGAAAAATGAGAACAACAATGGAAACTCGGGCGAGTAAGAATCCCATTTGTTTCTATTCACTTTTTAGAAAGCCATCAATACGATTGCTAACTGCGTGAATAGGTACATGAGATCCATTTTATTCCGAAGGAAAAAAAGAATGCAGGGACCAAAAAAATAAAAGCTTTAGAAGAAAAAGCTGTGAACAGCTTTTAATAGCTGCACGGACATCTACTCTCAACGATAAAAACAGGAGTTCCATTAACAAAGGGGAAAAAAATAATAATAGTAATAAAAGGCACTCCAAAGGCTTGAATAAACTCCCCAGAGTTGAACAAACACTTAGCGCTTCCCAAGTAGCTTGTAGTAACTTAACGCTACTATGGAAAGTTGTTAACCACATCTGCAAACATTACACAAGTTTGAATAGCAAAGGGACCTTCCTGGAGCTCTGAATTGACCTTGAAGTCGAGTGAGATCCAGCTCTGGACTTCTGCTATTTCTCTTTCATTTTCCATGCTGAGTCAAACTCTACCTTCCAGTTTCTTCAAGATTTTCCTCTGCCGTTGAATAATGGGTGGAGAAAGAGGCACGGACTCTTAACGTCTCAGGCTGTGAAGGAGACAGGGGGAGATTTGTCCTTTCAGACTGAACAAGATTCTGTTAATGTAGCCTTGCAATAAAGTTGAATTAGCTCATCTGGGGGCATTCCATGTCTTGTCTTCTTGAAAAGGCTGACAGCTTCACATCAATATCCTGGAGGGACTTGCAAACCCAGACCTTGAAGTAGAGTAGTTGGAGTCTGGAGGGGAGGGGAAGGGAAGGAGAAGAGAGGAAGGGAAGGAGAAGAGGAGAGGAAGGGAAGGAGAAGAGAGAAGAGAAGAAAAAGGAAGAGAGGAGAGAGGGAAAAGAGAGGAGAAGAGGGGAAGGGAAGGAGAGAGAAGAAGGAGAAGAGAAAAGAGAAGAGAGGAAGGAATAGAGGAGAGGAAGGAGGGAGGGAAAGGGAAGGAGAAGAGAGGAAGGGAAGGAGAAAAGAGAAGAGGAAGAGAGGAGAGGAGAGGAAGAAGAGAGGGAAAGGAGAGGAGGAGGTGGGAGGTGAAGGGAAGGAGAAGAGGAGGAAGGGAAGAGGAGGAGAAGGAGAAGAGAAAAGAAGAGAGAAAGGAAGAAGAGGGAAAGGGAAGAAGAAGAGAGGAAGGGAAGGAGAAAAGAGAAGAGAAAAAGAGGAGAGGAAGAAGAGAGGGAAAGGAGAGGAGGAGGCGAGGGGAGGTGAAGGGAAGGAGAAGAGAGGAGGAAGGGAAGGAGAGGAGAGGAAGGAGAAGAGAAAAGAAGAGAGGAAGAAGAGAGGGCGAGGAGAGGAAGAGAAGGAGGAGAGGAGGGGAGAAAATGAAATACAAAATATCAATAAATTACGGGTCGCTGGCCAAAGAGAAATATTTAAAAAATAAATAAAAACAAAACAAGATGAAACAATGCAGTTGGTGGGTGGCCTCATGAGTCCATGGTGAATTTTGACGATAACACATTTTTTGGGGTTTATTGACGGTCAGATTCACCAGATTTATCTTTTATCTGAGATACCCAGAGGACATCCTAGTGCCTAAAACGGAATACATTCAATTTATTTATTTCTACACCCGCCCAACTCAACCCCGGTGACTCTGGGCAGCTTACAATTCTAAAAGCATAAAACAATTTTTTAAAAAAACACACACATTAAAACAGTAAAAAAAACAAAACTGTTTATATCTAAAATGGAGCCTTGGGTTGCTTCTCCCAGCAGTTACGACTTTGCCCAAAACCGTGGATCGCCTTTATAGACAGTTGAGTTGCCAGTTTAAAAGGTTAGCCGTGGTCCCTTTTACGATCAGCCTCATTTGTTTCCTGGGATTAATAAAATCTGACGGGGTCGCAGGGCTGTTACAATAATGAAGAAAAGAAGGAATCTTGGTTAGCTCCCCCCTTGGGAATAATAATAACTCATTAAAAAGCGAGAAGCCTTTAAATAAATAACAAGAGCTGATGAGGCTATATGTTCAGAGAGGTTATGCTGCTTTTCCTTTTGGTTTCTGCTCTCCCTGTCCTTCCCTAGCCGTGCGGTTTAAAAAACGTCTTAAAAACACTTATTTGTTTTTTTCATCACAGTAGTCAGGAAACCACAGATCTAGGCTACTTCCCTCTTTTGCTTGACATCATTGCTGAGAAGTTTGCAGTCCACCCCAAAAAAAAACATTGGCAAAAGAACGGCCCACTCCCAGACTTTGTTAAACACTGAAATCTTTGGGTAGGGTGGCACCAAGGAAAGGTGATGCCTTGTCGTTGTTTTTAAACAAAAAAACTTGGTGTGAGTTGATTGGCCTTCATCACGGAATAAATCTAGTGGTCCAGGCCTTCCTCATTTCTCTCGGGGGACACCGTTGGTAGCTCTGAAACTGCTCTGCCAGTAAATCCAGACAACTTCCTCTGTTGCAAAACCTCTTCGGATCACGCTCCCCACCCCCATTCAGAGCCAGTTCCGTGACAGGCAGAGGCAGATTGGGAAATCAGAGGGTCCACCTCCCATCTTGGCAGCCAGGCTGGCCCAAGGTTGCAAAGGGTCACAGCAGGGATCAACAGGAAGAACCGACACAAAAGATCCACTTTCAACATATAATAATAATAATAATAATAATAATAATAATAATAATAATAATAATAATAATAATAATAATAATGATGATGATGATGATGATGATGATGATGATGATGATGATGATGATGATGATGATGATGATGATGATGATGATGATAAAGTTGGAAGGGACCTTGGAGGTCATCTATTCCAACCCCCTGCAATGTCAGTAGGCTTCACGGGGAGGCGTGAAGAGTGGAGTCAGTTAAATCACTGCTCGGCTTTCTTGAATCTTAGGGGTGCTCAGATCACCCAGGAAATATTTCCTGTAGCTGCTTTCAGCCAGACGATAGATATGGATAGGGATAGGGATAGGGATAGGGATAGGGATAGGGATAGGGATAGGGATAGGGATAGGGAGAGAGGGAGGGGAAGAGGGAGGGAGAGAGACAGAGAGAGAAAGAGAGGGAGGGAAAGAGAGAGAGAGGGGAGAGACAAAGGGAGAAAGAGAGAAAGAGAGGAGAGAGAGGGAGGGAGGGAGGGAGAGAGAGAGAGAGAGAAAGAGAGAGAGAGAGAATAAAAAGGTTCTCAGCTATTAGGATACCAAGGAAACGAGTTTCCAGTTTCTATGGAAGCAAATTTCAGAGAATTGTCACACAAATAACACTTCAGCAGAAATGGCAACCATTTAGATCAGGGATATTTATTTAAATTTACAGATTCCCTTGCTGGTGTACAACACTCCGTATGTTGGGACACACTGGGACCTCAATGGGTTTGTTGGCACTCTACTAACATGGAGGACAAGACCAGGGGGATTTATATGTAATATGCAGAGCTCTCACTAGGAAGTGTGGAGATTTTGACCCTAAAAACTTAGAAAGTATAGTCTTGGGGGAGACCTTTGGTCTTCCAAAAGGCAAAGCATAGAAAACCTCAAACAATGAGATCTGAGCACGTTCCAGGAATGTGGAACTGAAATTTCTTGACAGTGGAACGGCTTCCCTTCAGAGGTTGTGGGTGCTCCATCACTGGAGGTGTTTTAAGAAGAGACTGGGCAATCATTTGTCTGAAATGGTATAGGGTCTCTTGCTTGAGCAGGGGGCTGGACTAGAAGACCTCCAAGGTCCCTTCCAGGTAAGAAAGAAATATCCACGACACCACTCCATAAAGCCTCTTGAATATCATACTATGGTCCTTAAACACAAGCAATTCCCACCAGAAATATCTCCAGTATCTTTCTGGTTCCATTGTAGCTCTTCCTTCCTTCCTTCCTTCTTCCTTCCTTCCTTCCTTCTTCCTTCCTTCCTTCCTTCCTTCCTTCCTTCCTTCCTTCCTTCCTTCCTTTCTTTCCTCCCCTCCCTTCCTTTATTCCAACCTTCCTTCCTTCCTTTCTTTTTCTTCCTTCCTTCCTTCTCCTTCCTTCCTTCCTTTCTTCTTCCTTAGTTCCTTCCCTTCCCCTTCCTTCCTTCCTTCCTTCCTTCCTTCCTTCCTTCCTTCCTTCCTTCTTTCTTTTTTTCTTTCTTTCTTTCTTTCTTTCTTTCTTTCTTTCTTTCTTTCTTTCTTTCTTTCTTTCTTTCTTTCTTTCTTTCTTTCCTTCCACCGGCTAACCTGGCTACACCTTTTAGAATGCAATTATAAATAGAAACTCTCTGGGGCCTTCTTGAAGCTTCATTTTGGCATACTTTGCAGATGTTTTTTTATTATTATTATTAAAGGGAACTAAATGAATTTACACACAGTGTTAAATTTTCTGCCAACACCCGCCGTGAAACAGATTTGTGCGTTTGCTCAAGGAGGCTGCACGTTGCTGCTGAAATGTGGCCGGGCCAACCTTGGTGTGGAGTGTTGCTTCTGATCTCGGGGGCCCCCTAGCACCCAGCTGCAAGAAACAGCTGTTGTGATCCACATCTGTAAAAAAACAGGATTGTTTTCCCACGTTCTTAGGAATACCTCCATATAACATCTGTACGGGTGGCCCTTGACTGAACAACAGTTCATTTAGTGACCGTTTGGAGTTAACAACGGCACTGAAAAATGTGACCCTAGGTTTTTTCACACTTATGACCATTGCAGCGTCCCCATGATCAAAATTTGGACACTTGGCAACTGTCTCATATTTATAACGGTTGCGGCGTCCCGGGATCAGGTGATCCTTTTTTGCGACGTTCCAGCAAGGAAAGTTAGATCCCCTTAACAACCATGTCACTAACTCAACAACTGCAGTGATTCATTTAACAACTCATCTTCTGGGATGTCTATGGAGACTGTCAATCAAATATGTCACGGTGGTCCATAAGGTGTTTTTTTCAAGAGGCAACTGGACTTTCATAGTTTTTTGTTTCCCTTTGAAAATGTTTCACTTCTCATCCAAGAAACTTCTTCACTTCTGACTCAGTCAGAACCGAAGAAGCTTCTTGGAGGAGAAGCGAAACGTCTTCAAGGAAAAACAAAGAAAGTCCAGTTGCCTCTTGGGAAAAAAAAAGTGCCTTTGGGACACAAGGAGATTTGTGCCTCTTGGGCTGAAGCAAATGCACCAACTCCATCATGGGCACCAGCGTGGGAGAAAAGGGGAAGGAAATTGCCTTTGTGCAGGTTTTTGTACTGCCTTCACGAAGTCAGTAAATGAATCAGACTCGTTTTTTGGAGTCTGGGCATCGTACGGCATCAAACTGCAAAGTGAACAGGTTGGGTTTATGTCCCAGAAAAGAAACAAAAACAAAAAAAGAATGAAGGGCATGGTGTCGCTTTCCAAAAATTGGGCCCAGGATCAAGACAAGGGGAGGAAGAAGATGTGGCATTTATTAGTTAGTGAAATCCGATTGTGCCCAGTGCTCAGCTGCAGAATGTATGCAGTTCCAGTCCCAAAGAGGGGGGTTGGACCAGAAGACCACCAAGGTCACTTCTGACTCTGTTGTTCTATTCTATTCTATTCTATTCTATTCTATTCTATTCTATTCTATTCTATTCTATTCTATTCTATTTATTCTATTCTATTCTATTTCTTATTTTCTATTCTATTCTATTCTATTCCTGTTCTATTCAATTCAATTCTATCCTATTCTATTCTATTCTATTCTATTCTATTTCTTATTTTCTATTCTATTCTATTCTATTCTATTTCTTATTTTCTATTCTATTCTATTCTATTCTATTCTATTCTATTCTATTCTATTCTATTCTATTCTATTCTATTCTATTCTATTCTATTCTATTTCTTATTTTCTATTCTATTCTATTCTATTCTATATTCTATTCAAATTCTATTCTATTCTATTCTATTCATAGAGCCGAGGATGAAATTTGGATAATCTGTTCCTCTCTGAGTTGGAAAGAAAACAACAGAAAGCAACATGATACAAGAAGGATGCTAAGACCCGATTAAAGAGTCCAGAAAGAGCCACAAAGATGATCAGGGACCTATCAATGTCTTCTCTATCACCAGTAACCAACTTTGGCACTGCTAGCAATGTTTAAAAACAATGCCACCCATTGGGGGATATTTTTAATGTCTGATCTGAGATTTCAACTCTTTTTGTGTTTCAGAAGTTCTTTTTTCAGCATCCCAACAGTGGAGGTTTTCAAGAGACTGGACAACCGCTTGTCTGAAATGGTCTAGGGGTTTCCTGCTTGAGCAGGGGGTTGGACTAGATGACCTCCAAGATCCCTTCCAACTCTGTTAATTCTGTTTATTCTTCCTCCTTATGCATCGAAGCTTGTTGGGGACAGCTTTAAACATTAGATGCATGGAATGCCATAGAGGGTGGAGGGAAAATGCCCCTTTTTCCTTTACTAAATTTCATTCCAAGGGCAAAAAAAATCATAAAGGACACAAAGATTTTTTTTTCTTTAAAAAAAAAGCATATAAGTATCATTGAGAAAACGGGCGTTGTTTACATGTTTGGAAGAAGCATTTAACAAATTTTTAAAAAATCGCCTTGCAATTAAAAAATGTGCCGTGAACACAGAATATCCTCTCCTATTGATAAAAAAAGTGTTCTGTTGGGTTAGAACTGTCTGCCTTTTAAAACAGCACCAGGAAATGAAATAATCAGCTGCAGACCTCTAATCCTTTCGATGTGGAAGTCAGAGTTTGCCAGTCAAGGAAACACAAAGTGTCTCCTTCAAACACACCTGGAGAGGAGAGTCCCGGTGTAACACAGGAAACCTGCATTCAAGGTTTACCCACCTGTCCTATTTGCCACGGAGAAGAGGCAAAGTTCTTTTTGTGGCCCTGCAGTGCCCTCCTGTGGCGGAACGTTGAACCTCACCCAGGTACCTCTTTACATTCTTGTTAAGCGTTCTTTAGCACAGCAACAGCGTGGGAAGGGACCCTCAAGGTCTTCTAGTCCAGCCCCCTGTGCCATTGGAGACCAAAGCTGATGGGGCAGCAGAGAATCACCTGATCCATTTAACCAATGTTGCAGTTATCTGAGGCAACGACCGCAAATAATGACTCTGTGTGTGTGTGTGTGTGTGTGTGTGTGTGTGTGTGAGAGAGAGAGAGAGAGAGAGAGAGAGAGAGAGAGAGAGAGAGAGAGAGAGAATGCACCATCCCCATTCAAAATTCACTTTCCTATTTAGGCTACAGGTAGTGTGTGTGTGTGTGTGTGTGTGTGTGTGAGAGAGAGAGAGAGAGAGAGAGAGAGAGAGAGAATGCACCATCCCCATTCAAAATTCACTTTCCTATTTAGGCTACAGGTAGTCCTCGGCTTACGACCACATTTTAGCCCAACAGTTCTGAAGTGAGCCTTGCCCCCATTTTACAACTTTCCTTGTTGTTAAACGAATCACTGCAGCTGTTAAGTTAGTAACACGGCCGTTAAGTGAATCTGGCTTACCCATTGGCTTGGCTTGTTGGAAGGTCACAAAAGGGGATCCACGTGACCCCGGGACGCTGCGGCACGTCGTAAATATTGAGTCAGTTTGCCAAGTGGCTGAATTTTGATCACGTGGCCACGAGGGAGGCTGCAACGGTCATAAGTGGGGGGAAAAAACCGTCATAAGTCACTTTTTTTCAGTGCTGGTAGAACATCAAAAGAGTCCCTAAATGAACAGTTGTAAGCAGAGGACTATCTGATATAATGTGAGACTTTTTTCTTCTTCAAAGTTTGGGCTGCCGAAGTAAATGGCGGCAAAATTCTGCTTGGGAAACAGAGGGTTAAAGTTAGCTGCTTTAGAACCGAGTCCCTTAAAGGTAAATTCCTTGATCCCTAAGGGGATAAAAATGAATGGACTCAGCTGCTCCGTGACTTCTTAAGCCTGCCTTGACTCCAAAAGCACTTACTCCGTGCCAGTGTGGACAAAAAGGGCAGAGAGTCAAGCGTCATAAGCAGGTTCTTCCTAAAATCTATAACCTCTGTTTCCCCCCCAGAAAGAAAATAAACTCCAAATACAGAAGGTGAATTGGAAGAAGGTGAATTGGATAAAGACTCCTCTCAAGCTGCCTGAGAATATAGACAATATGGACAAATATACCTTGATGTGAAATTCAGCAAAGAGAGAGAGATAAGAGAGAGGATGAGAAAAAGAGAGAGGGGGGGGGAAGGTAAGACAGAGGATAGATAGATAGATAGACAGATAGACA